AACTAGCTAGCTGCAACCAAATGGATGTTGTTGGCTAATCACCACTGCCCCCGAAGCAAGCACCAGTTAGCCTTGAGCTAACCTCGAGCCAGGCCCATCTCCCGGCTATCTACACCTCTGTCAACCCGACAGGACCCCACAGATCCATCACGACTGATCTGCCGACGTAATCGTCTGATGTGGTTTCAACAGGCTTCCCGTTGCGACGACCACGAAGATCCATCTGCTAGCCCCGGCCTGCTAGCACACGCAATCAACAGCCGTGCTTCCTGCTCGCCTGTGCTGTAACAGCCATTTGAACTGCTCCCGGTCTCACCTATTGCTGTTCACTGGACCTTATGATCACTCAGCTGCACAGCTGATGCCTGCTGGACTGTTCCTTTACACGGTACCCCCATCCTGTTTATCTGGCCTGTTTGTCTGTTTAGCCTCAGCCCAAACTTTCGTCGCCATTACCAGTTGTTGTCTTAGCTCTCTCGAATAACACCTGTGATTGCTTTGTGCCTCTCTCCCATGTCAATATGTCTCGCCTATTGCTGTTCCGGTTAATTCTTATTATACAATTTCACTGTAGAGCCCCCAGTACCGCTCAACCAGCCTCAGAGAGCTCCTTTGTCCCACCCCCCATACACGCGGTGCCTCCAGTGATATCTCTTTCATCGTACAATTTGTAAGTCGACGTAAATGTAAATGTAATGTAAATGTTACCCAACGCTTAGGTTTACCTCCACTGTACTCATATCCTTCCATATCCTTGTCTGTACATAATGCCCTGAAGCTATTTTACAACGGCCGGAAATCTGCCCCTTTTATTCTCTGTACCCAACGCACTAGAAGACCAGTTCTTAAAGCATTTAGCCTTATTACAGTTTTGACGGCACTGGGCCTTTAATGTCATCCATGGTTAGGTGGCAGAAAAGTTTGAACGTTGCTTCGCTGGTTATACTAGAAATATATACATTTCTGTGGCAGTGGAGACATGTTTATGACTATGTTTGAGGATAATATTACCCCTTTAATCTATTGCTCAAACTAAACTCAGTTTGCTGGAGACACTTACAGTGAGGGAAGAAAGTATTTGATCCCCTGCTGATTTTGTACATTTGCCCACTGACAAAGAAATAATGAGTCTATAATTTTAATGGTAGGTTTATTTGAACAGTGAGAGACAGAATAACAACAAAAAAATCCAGAAAAACACATGTCAAAAATGTTATAAATTGATTAGCATTTTAATGTGGGAAATAAGTATTTGACCCCCTCTCAATCAGAAAGATTTCTGCCTCCCAGGTGTCTTTTATACAGGTAACGAGCTGAGATTAGGAGCACACTCTTAAAGGGAGTGCTCCTAATCTCAGCTTGTTACCTGTATAAAAGACACCTGTCCACAGAAGCAATCAATCAATCAGATTCCAAACTCTCCACCATGGCCAAGACCAAAGAGCTCTCCAAGGATGTCAGGGACAAGATTGTAGACCTTCACAAGGCTGGAATGGGCTACAAGACCATCGCCAAGCAGCTTGGTGAGAAGGTGACAACAGTTGGTGCGATTATTCGCAAATGGAAGAAACACAAAATAACTGTAAATCTCCCATGGCCTGGGGCTCCATGCAAGATCTCACCTCGTGCAGTTGCAATGATCATGAGAACGGTGAGGAATCAGCCCAGAACTACACAGGAGGATCTTGTCAATGATCTCAAGGCAGCTTGGACCATAGTTACCAAGAAAACAATTGGTAACACACTACGCCGTGAAGGACTGAAATCCTGCAGCGCCCGCAAGGTCCCCCTGCTCAAGAAAGCACATATATATAGGGCCGTCTGAAGTTTGCCAATGAACATCTGAATGATTCAGAGGAGAACTGGGTGAAAGTGTTGTGGTCAGATGAGACCAAAATTGAGCTCTTTGGCATCAACTCAACTCGCCGTGTTTGGAGGAGGAGGAATGCTGCCTATGACCCCAAGAACACCATCCCCACCATCAAACATGGAGGTGGAAACATTATGCTTTGGGATGTTTTTCTGCTAAGGGGACAGGACAACTTCACCGCATCAAAGGGACGATGGACGGGGCCATGTACCGTCAAATCTTGAGTGAGAACCTCCTTCCCTCAGCCAGGGCATTGAAAATGGGTCGTGGATGGGTATTCCAGCATGACAATGACCCAAAACAATTGCCAAACGTCAGCCTCGAAACCTTAATGACTTGGAGAAGATCTGCAAAGAGGAGTGGAACAAAATCCCTCCTGAGATGTGTGCAAACCAGGTGGCCAACTACAAGAAACGTCTGACCTCTGTGATTGCCAACAAGGGTTTTGCCACCAAGTACTAAGTCATGTTTTGCACAGGGGTCAAATACTTATTTCCCTCATTAAAATGCTAATCAATTTATAACATTTTTGACATGCGTTTTTCTGGATTTGTTTGTTGTTATTCTGTCTCTCACTGTTCAAATAAACTTACCATTAAAATTATAGACTGATCATGTCTTTGTCAGTGGGCAAACGTACAAAATCAGCAGGGGATCAAATACTGTATATCCCTCAATATCTTTAAGCATCAGTTGTCAGAGCAGCTGTACACAGCCCATCTGTAATTAGCCCACACAACTACCTCATACCCATATTGTTATTTACATTCTTATTTATTTTGCTCATTTGCACCCCAATATCTCTATTTGCACATCATCTTCTGCACATCTATCACTCCAGTGTTTTTTTTTTAGTGTTTTTTTTATTATTTTCTTTTTGTTCATATTTTTATTCTAAATTTTTGTCTTTTTTTAAATCTTTTTAATTTTATTTTTAATCTTTTTTTGGGGGAATGGATCTATCACTCCAGTGTTAATACTAAATTATAATTGTAATTATTTTGCACTATGGCCTATTTATTGCCTTACCTCCATAACTTACTACATTTGCACACACTGTATATATATTTTATATTGTGTTATTGACTGTACGTTTTGTGTATTCCAAATGTAACTCTGTGTTGTTGTTGTTTTTACCGCACTGCTTTGCTTTATCTTGGCCAGGTTGCAGTTGTAAATGAGAACTTGTTCTCAACTGACTCACCTGGTTAAATAAAGGTGAAATAAAAAATGATAATACAATTTTTTGCATACATACATATAGTACAGTACATCATGTAGGACGTAAAGAGTCAATATTCAGCTGACTGGCTTTCTTGATGTCTATAGTATTCTCTCTGGTATGCAATCTGGTTTCTGCTCAGGTTATGGATGTGTCACTGCAACCTTAAAGGTCCTAAATGATGTCACCATTGCCCTTGATTCTAAGCAATGTTGTGCTGCTATTTTTATTGACTTGGCCAAAGCTTTTGATACGGTATACCATTCCATCCTTGTCGGCCGGCTAAGGAGTATTGGTGTCTCTGAGGGGTCTTTGGCCTACTTTGCTAACTACCTCTCTCAAAGAGTTCAATGTATAAAGTCAGAACATCTGCTATCTCAGCCACTGCCTGTCAACAAGGGAGTACCCCAAGGCTTGATCCTAGGCCCCACGCTCTTCTCAATTTACATCAACAATATTGCTCAGGCAGTAGGAAGCTCTCTCATATCCATTTATATGCAGATGATACAGTCTTATACTCAGCTGGCCCCTCCCCGGATTTTGTGCTAAACGCTCTACAACAAAGCTTTCCTAGTGTCCAACAAGCTTTCTCTGCCCGTAACCTTGTTATGAACACCTCCAAAACAAAGGTAATGTTGTTTGGTAAGAAGAATTCCCCTCTCCCCACCGGTGTGATTACTACCTCTGAGGGTTTAGAGCTTCAGGTAGTCACCTCATACAAGTACTTGGGAGTATGGCTAGACGGTACACTGTCCTTCTCCCAGCACATATCAAAGCTGCAGGCTAAGGTTAAATATAGACTTGGTTTCCTCTATCGTAATCGCTCCTCTTTCACCCCAGCTGCCAAACTAACCCTGATTCAGATGACCATCCTACCCATGCTAGATTACGGAGATGTAATTTATAGATCGGCAGGTAAGGGTGCTCTCGAGCGGCTAGATGTTCTTTACCATTCGGCCATCAGATGTGCCACCAATGCTCCTTATAGGACACATCACTGCACTCTATACTCTGTAAACTGGTCATCTCTGTATACCCATCGCAACACTGGTTGATGCTTATTTACAAAACCCTCTTAGGCCTCACTCCCCCCTATCTGAGATACCTACTGCAGCCCTCATCCTCCACATACAACACCCGTTCTGCCAGTCACATTCTGTTAAAGGTCCCCAAAGCACACACATCCCTGGGTCGCTCCTCTTTCCAGTTCGCTGCAGCTAGTGACTGGAACAAGCTGCAAAAAAACACTCAAACTGGACAGTTTTATCTCCATCTCTTCATTCAAAGACTCATTCATGGACACTCTTACTGACAGTTGTGGCTGCTTCGCGTAATGTATTGTTGTCTCTACCTTCTTGCCCTTTGTGCTGTTGTCTGTGCCCAATAATGTTTGTACCATGTCTTGTGCTGCTGCCATGTTGTGTTGCTACCATGTTGTTTTCATGTTGGGTTGCTACCTTGCTGTGTTGTCGTGTGTTGCTGCCATTCTATGTTGTTGTCTTAGGTCTCTCTTTATGTAGTGTTGTGTTGTCTCTCTTGTTGTGATGTGTATTTGGTCCTATATTTATCTTTTTTCTTTTTTCTTTTTTAAATCCTAGCCTTTTGCCTTTTGGTAGGCCGTCATTGTAAATAAGAATTTGTTCTTAACTGACTTGCCTAGTTAAATAAAGGTTAAATAAAAAATAAGAAATAATAAAAAATTAAAATAAACTATATATTGACAGGCTTTGAAAATTGATTACAGAAACCAAAAATATATAATTAGGGGAATCATCCATTTTAAAGAAAGGTACATTTTTCAGACAGTATAAAACAAGTTAATAGCCTAATAATCTATAGATTTGTTTTTCATAAATGTTAAACATGTCAAATAAGTAATATTTATTTTCTAGTTCTCAAAACTGAAACGAAACCATAGATGAGTGAAAGATAGTAGGAAGAAAAGTGAATAGTTCTGTTCAGTTGAGGCAATTGAATCAACACATGATTACAATACTCATTAATTCTGTCTTTAAAAACAGACACACTCCAGTGCAACAGTAGAATGTCCTCTGGCTATGCCAAGGCTAAATGATATGTAAACATTCTCTGTTTCTTGGTTTTTCCTGCAGGTCTGTCCTTTGAACAGTCTGTGTGCCCTCATCAGTCCCACCCTACTGTACATATAGATGCTTGTAGATGCTTGGAGTCCTACTTGCTGAGGTAAATGTTTTATGTTTGATAGAAGATGTCTCTTCTCTGGTCTCATCATGACTTCAACAGAGAAAAGTGATATATTCCAGTTTTTCCGAGCAGCGATTTATGGTATTGATATATAAACTGGATGTGGGACCCACGTTTTCTTATTTTATCGCTCTGACTTGACCTTGTAACGCAGCACCAGGTAGGTGGCGAATCGGAGGATCACGAAGAAGATCCCCAGAACGATGAAGTCCATGTAGAGCTTGGCGTCCTCCACGTCCAACAGTTGGAGGACCTCCTCAGGCTTCTGGAACTTACACACTTTCCCCGGACAATACAGATAGGTACGGTTCATCCCGTATATGGACAGGATCACCCCCTCAAAGCCGTACCTGGGAGACAACACAGACTGATTGGTCTAAAATCTAGATGAAACCAGATGACTGGTACCTGTGTTGTTATTATTTAAAGGTCAATACAATGCAAAGATGGAAACAATCAGTGTTGCATTGGGACATTTTACCCCCTCTCTCTTTTCTTATTTTATTGAGATAGACAGGCATGAAGTGAGTAGTGGAGACAGTTATAGGTAGAAGACGTAAAGCGTTGGACTCTGGGGTCGAACCCCCACCGCTAGTGGTCATGTCATGTGTAGTTCAAGGTCAGCAGCTACCACTAGACCAGACTCCAGCACAAGTGGGACATACCTGACATAGGACACATAGGAGCTCCACTGCAGGTACTTGGGAATGGTGTCAAAGTTGACGAAGAAACCCGAGAAGAGAAGGACAGGAATGGCAGTGACGGGGCCGACGAAAGTGGCCACCTGTGGAAAGATAGAAAGGTAGAGGGGCTAATGGTCTGTACACTTTGCAAGCGACAAGTCATTTGATTGGTGCTCGTGGACAAAAAGTAGATCCGGCTGTTCATGCAAGCCGATTGGCAAAATAAGTCACTACGTTATTTATGTTGCGCTCAGTTAGGAAAAAATAAATAAAATCCCTCTTGCTGTGTGTACTGACTAGGAGACGTGCACCCATGAAGGCTACATGTGCCATTTCAAAGTGGTAAGAAAATTAGCTAGATGGTGAAACATTAGCATTAGTTAGTATTTAGTTCGTTCCAGCAGGTACCTGGACGTTGGTGGAGGCAGCACCAACCAGGAGCCCTAGTGACTGGGCTACCAGGGCCGTGCAGATGGACAGGGCCAGAAAGAGCAGGAAGCGGATGGCCTCCGGAGGCTGATCTGTCATCCAGTACACTATACTGCAGTACATGATGGGGCAGAGGACCTGGGGAAGAGAGGGCCGTACTGTACATAAACACTGGGTGGCACTGCTGTATCTATTTGTATTATGCTGTTGGGTTCTCTGAGAAACAAACACACACACTTTCTCTTTCTCACTTGCACACATGCATACACACATACAACCACACAAACACACAAACAAACATGTATGCACACACACACACGTTCTGCTGTGTTCCTGCTTTGTTTGGATGACCAACTCACCTGGAATGGAATGTCAGCCATAGTCTTAGCCAGATAGTAAGCCTTCAGGCTGTACCAGTAGTTGAGATGTTCCCTCAGAAAAACTGACATCTCCAGAGGAACTGCAGGTCAGACATTAAGAAACAGCAAAGAAGAATCAAATCTTTAACATACTTACCAATGTCATGGATCCTAGGGGATCCCTGGGAAACAATTATGTTTGTTGCTGAATGGACTATCCAATGACTATCCTGACTAATAAATAAAGATGAGTTGACACTGGTTTCAGTTAGCCTAGCAGAGTTAACAAATGCTTGTGTGACCCTTCAGGGTAAGCTAGCCTGTTTAAACCTAGGGTTAATGATAGCCCTAGGTCCTAGGCTAAGAACATGCATTGTGAAAAGGCTTACAGAGACATAAAACATATTGGTTGCATCCCAAATGGCTCTATTCTATTCCCTATATAGTGCACTACTTTTGACCAGGGAATAGGGTGCCATTTAAGGATGAAACCATTGACTGCAAAGTTCCTCCTGGTAAAACACCAGTACACACTATGCCTATAAGCCATATTGCTGATTAACGCACAAGTCCCCCTCACAATACTGTCAACTCACACGTGAGCACGGTGGGCATCAGAGCTCCGAACATGAGGAAGAGCATGGAGAAGAAGAGGAAGCCGGTGTTGTTGAAGACCTTGCTGGCATCGTTGCCGATGTTCAAGTAGAGCAAGCCGATCAGTACTCCTATAGAGATGTGTGACATCAGCCTTAGGTGTGTCAACACCTGAAACAGAAACGCTCACAATGACTCACGGCATGCATACCTTCCTCTCTTATACAATTCACTCATCCTCATGTCACTGATGTATGTATAGGGCAGGTTTAAAAGCATGCTCAATGGAGAATCTAATTTAAAAGTGCCTTTTCCACTAATCCATGGCTAGTCTTAAAACTTGCCCAAAACGTTTTTTACATGCATGCTATTGCAACCATTTAGCACCCAGCTACCTGAGGAATGCCCTTGTAATTCTACTCACATACCTGGTCTCGACATATTGTTATCAACGTTCTATTGAAGAGAATGCAAAACTGTGTAAAAGTGCTTGTGGCAAATGAATGGCTCTCAATGGCTCCTGAGTCCTGTGAAAAGAGACAGACGGGGGCGTGTCAAGACAAAGCAGAGTGTCACTGTCTAAAGTGTTTGTTTGTTTGTGTGTGTGTGTGTGTCAGTCAATGGGGCTTATTCCTTAGTGATTCTTAGTTGTATGTAACATTAGTCCTCACCTTGAGGCACTTTGTTGGACAAACAGAGGATGTGTCTTTTTTGTCAAATGAGTTCTTCTTCTCCTCAATGGCACACATTCCACCCTGGACCGCCTCAAACAGAATAGGATTCCAATTTCCATACTCCCCTGATGCCACTTCGATGACTGGGACAGAGAAAATCCTGTTAACACTTTCTATGAATAGCCTCTTACTAAAACCCATTATGCATAGCTAATAAGGCAATGTAACTGCATTTTTAAGGCATTATGAAGAGGGTATTAACAAAACATGGCAGAGGTCTGCAATGTGGGGCAAAAGACGAACAAAGATATTGAATTGATATTGAGTATGTGTGCTCTGTTCTGAGGTCCCATTGAACTCACTGAAATCTGCCGGGTTGTGGTAGGTGGGGCAGTGGAGCCCGAGGTTCTTCAGATAGGGGATGAGGTATGGGACGGTGCCTTTGTATATGCACTGGCCCTGACTAAGGATGTACAGCTGTGGAAGGACAAGACAACACATCAGGTGGAGAGAAAGACACAGCTGGTCCATGGGTGGGGACCTGAGTTTTTCCTGATCACGTGACCCTACCAGAAAAAAACTTGTATAGAATACAACTAGGGTCCTGGAATTATTCTGGTCGGGTTACGTGGTTAGGAAAAACTCCTTTCCACACCCAGGGGACAACTGCCACTGCTCTGTATTCATGTGTTGCCTAATCATTTAAATAATATGCCATTTAGCAGACGCTTTTATCCAAAGCGACTTACAGTCATGCGTGCATACATTTTTTTTGTGTATTGGTGGTCCCGGGGATCGAACCCACTACCTTGGCGTTACAAGCGCCGTGCTCTACCAGCTGAGCTACAGAGGACCACATGATGGATTGAAGTGGACAGAGAGAGACCTGTTTGTACCTTATCAAACATCTCAAAGAGCTTGGCGCTGGGCTGGTGGATGGTGCAGATGATGGTGCGTCCCCCCAGGGCTAGAGATTTCATGAGGGAAACCACTTGGTAACAGGAAGCACTGTCCAGACCACTGGAAACAGACATAGACAGGAGAGGGTTAGGGAAGCAGGACCAGCAGGATACTGCTAGTTGAGAAACAACCTCTATTTCAAATGAATATGGAATGTACAGTATAACACTACAGGTTATATATGTCCAATTTATTCCAGCCCCAAAACTCAGGGTACTGATGGGTAAATAATGTAATTCAATTCCATACAACTTTATTAATCCCTGAGGGGCAGTTAGAAAGGCACTTTCAGTGCATGGCTACATTCCACATAATCTGTAGTAGCAAGGGGGGTTTAATCCATGGTGGAGGTGGAGGTCATGTTACATCATCAGTAGGACCAGGAGTTTTTCCTCCAGGCCCTGTTATCTCAAATGGACTGAAATCTTGATATCTGAAAGCCCTCCAGGACTTAGATCAAGTAACACTGCCACACTACACCACCAACAAGAATGTACAAGGGCTTGTCTTGTCCCATCGTTGACGGATCAGGTGGACATGGTGAGCCTCTTACCTGGTTGGCTCGTCAAAGAACATGACTGGGGGGTTGTTGACTAGCTCAAGGGCGATTGCCAGCCGTTTACACTGCCCCCCAGATAGGGAGCTGGTGCGGGTGTGAGCACACTCCTGGAGCCCTAGAGCAATCAGGATCTCATTCACCTACACACACACACACACACACACACACACAAACAGGCACCCACACACACATAAAATGTTCTACCATTAGTAGGTAAACACAAATCACAGTTGTATGTATAATTTCACACATCTGCAAGCTGTTCATTTCTATCCAACTCACCAGTTCTTTTTTCACTTCCATATTTTCACTGAGCTTCAAGTTGGCCGAAACCTGAAACAACATCAAATCCATAGAATACAGTAATTTAGCTACGTTTTAGTCATGAAAATGTACGATATCCACTGAAAATGTATGATTTCCACTATTCACACTGCAGTTCTTCCAGTGGATGGCAGCAGTCACCACTTTCTTCTACACCTCACATTAGTCCATCATTACTGCATAATAACAAACCATAAACAAACAACCTATTCTCCCAATAAGAACATGTCTGGGTCATGTTCATTAGGCACCAAACGGAAGAAAACGAACTGAAACAGGGAGGGACTACCTAGATTTGACCAATAATCATTTTTGTTTCAGTTGCAAAACGTTTTAAAATGTTTTCCATTGCGTTCCCTAATGAACACAACCCTGTTCTCTCACCATCATGGCCTCCCGGACAGTGAGGTGCGGCAGCAGCATGTCATCCTGCATGATATAACAGGACATCTTACGAAATGTGCGGAGATCTCTGGGTTTCCCATTTACCAGGATCTTCCCTTTCATGCCTGTTTCCCTAAGGAGGACACACAGGAGTGGAGAATGGATGAATACAAACATATTCATTTGACTACTCCTTGTGCAGTGACATGATGATTGATAATAAACACATGGGTTCATTTCCATCAAACCCACATTATCATACTTTTATTTCCACTGTGGCTCTTTTCCCATGATCAAACACATCATACAATTGTTTAAAACATCCCAAAATTGGTTTGGGTACTGTGAAAACCTACTACTAGGTACTAGACCTTCCTCACAGTTACTGTAGATGCTTCCAGTTTTTACAATAATAATGCTATGTGTGTAAAAAAAATACAATGAGTTAACATTCCAATCACAGTGGAATGAAACAGAGCAGGAGCACTTTTTGGGAAATAGATGTCAGACGAGGTGTTCGTTGAAAATGGGGATAAATACTTGAATAAGCAAAAAGAAGTGCTTGCAGGTAGTGTAAACTATGCAAAAGCAGTGCAGAGCTGTTGCTGAGCAGTAACGTTTCCCGCTCATATGCACATGTAGGACCCACAGAGACCGGGATTCAATCACTGCCTCAACCCTTTACCCTGTTACACCTATCTCCTTCTACCTTTCTGATATATCTGAATAAAACATCAAAATATACGTAAGGTAGAGTGGTGTTCCAGTCTCCTTTAAAACAAAAAACTATGCAAAAGAATGATAGCAGCACTCTCACCTGTAGCCAGCCAGGATGTTCATCAGAGTGGACTTGCCGGCCCCTGAGGGCCCCATGATTCCAATCAGCTCTCGGCTGCAGAACCTCCCCGAAAGGCATTTCAGTAAGGCTTTAAAACCTGGAAAAAGACCAGACACTTACAATCTCACTGATCTCTTGGAGGGATTTTCTATTGTGTAAGGAATAGGTCCATCAATGTCACAAATGGTATGAATGAATTCCATTAATTTCAGTAATAGATCAAGTAGATTTAAATACAGACTGGCCTAAATACAAGAGTAGAGTCAAAACTTGTTCTATTGATTACTGTATCAAGTCTATCAACTGCTCCATGGCTCCATTCACACTCAGGTTGTACAACGGATGTACAACATATATTTGACACAATGGTTGTGATACAACTGATATTTTTTTGATACAAAGGAAACTTTGTCTGCACAAAATTGTTAAGACAACTATTGAGTGGTGTCTCCACACTGGTGTAATTCTTTTTGTGCAGAAAACTCTCTGTTGTATCACAACCGTTGTGCCAAATGTGTTGTACATCAGTTGTACAACTTAAGTATTTACAGGGCCCATGTGTGGAACTTAATTATACTGTGGCCATGTTGACTTGAAATCATGTCTAATGGGATAGAAGGAAGAAGTCAATCACATGTCATTTGTGATGAGTATCTTTATTGACATGCTTTGTGAATTCGAATGGACCTTATTCACACTGAACATTCCAACATGGTTATACATCTTGCACCGACAGGCAGAGCTAACCAAAGTTCACTTATTCTTAAAAAATTGCTGTCTAAACATTGGTTGGCATAGGAAAAATAGCTCTGCCTGTGTAAGATGTATAACCGCGTTGGAATGTTCAGTGTGGATAAGGTCCATTCGAATTCACAAAGCATGTCAATAAAGATACTCACCACAAAAGTATATCACCAGACCCCCCATTCATTGCTTCATAGCCTAGACTGCAACATAACTTTCTCCTTGAATAGAAATGCACCTCAATCACCACTACCGTCAAAGGTTCACTCATTGATATTCAGAAGAGCAGGGTTTGCAGCTCCTGACCTGTTCCAGGGTGCCTGCTCAGGTCTGCTAATTATAAGCGTGTTAGTCGCTGCAGCTCCAGGTTATTGATGTCCAATTACTGAGACCTTCTTTATGGCTGCTTCAACAATGGGACACATCAGTGATGTTCCAGGTAGTCTGCATTGCAGTCGTGCTGCACCTTAGCAGTAAAATTTGGATATTTGTTTTCCTGTGATGGCAAGCATTTAGAGATGCAAGTGTCTCTCCATCTTATAGATTTCTGTATCATATTAATGTGGTTTCTGAGACTCTAAACACTTCTCCAGGCATTGTGAGATCCCATCAGCTGTGCAGCGCGACTACAAAAAGACGAAGACCTGGAACGCTACCATTGTCTAATGGGACATTAGCCATTGAGAATGACCTTTAGTGACCGCTAAGACATACAGTAGACACCTCCAGGCGAAGGAGCACCACCTGGGCTATGGGTTCAGCTAAAAGCCCTACGGTACTAGGGGCTCAGTTACAGAGCAGCACTGCTGACGTAGGCAAACTCTGATTGATCTCTCCAAGAGCTCAGCCAAAACGTCAAAGGACTCGGAGCAGCAACCACCAATCACGGGGCGACGTTTCTTTTTGTTTTGGTCACAGCAAGCGACTACAGTCCACATCATCATCAGTGTCACCTAGTTGTTGTTTTTTTCAGCTAGGAAAGCTGATCCAGAACAGAGGGAAGGATTCCCTAGCCTAGAGAAGTATTTAATTTATTGATGACCAGGGAATGTGATATAAAGTGCTATAGGCACATTGTTTGGGAGTTGATGCATGGTCAATAACGGTCTTTAAACATGGCTGACATAGCATCCCAATGCTATCCCAAAGAATAAGAGGATATCCAAAGGTTAAAGCTGTTGTTGATGAAATGTGAGGGTAAAATGTGAGTGTTGAGTTGAGCTCATCCAGCAGCGACCAAGGTATTTACTTTCTACATTCAGTTTTCAAGCTGGGCGTTTTTGTTGTCGTTGTTGTTGCATCCAGTCAATAAATCCTCCTTCTTAATTAAAAAAGAACACTTGTAAAACAAACTACAGCATCCAGGAGGCAACGTTGTCGCCCAGCTCAGGGGAAGCACAGCAGGGTCATTAACTCTACGCATGAATCACGGTTGTGATCTCAGCAGGCGACTCGGGCGGGAATATTTATTTCCTGTGCAGCCAGCCCCAAGAGTGACCTCATCACCTCATCAGATGAATACTCCTTGCAGTTGCCGTAAGGTGTTCTTAAGGTGTTTGTAAAGGCGTTCTTCTATCCTCAGTGTTAAGAGAAACTCCCTCCACATGCCTTAATAGATTGGAAGTGGGGGGGAAAGTATGTCAAAAGGGGCATTTCCTATTAGCTAGTTCCATCTTGTTCCTCATCTCTGTGATGTGAGGTGATGACAGCACCATCACAATACCAGAGCAGGGTAATGAATGAAACATGCACATGCACGCACACACGCACACACACACACAGCCATGTTTACATTGCTTGTCAAGACTTTTTGGTGAATAAAAATGTATTCCCATTCAAAATCCTATTTTCCCAAAACCCTAAACATAAACAAATCTAACCCTTAAACCTAAAATAGCATTTTGACTTTTCAGGACATGCTAAATGTCCTGACTTTTCCAAAATGTTCTTGTTTTCCTATCGTGTCAGGACATTCTGGCCCTGACAAGATAGGACAACAAGTCCACACACACACACACACACACACACACACACACACACACACACACACACACACACACACACACACACACACACACACACACACACACACACACACACACACGCACACACAAACAGTGTAAGACAGTGTAAGACATTGTTACCTGCCAAAATACAATGTTGCTATTATGCAGGAAAACTGGTACTTTTCCTGTCTCAGTTAGCTCCCCATGGCTTAAGACCTTTTTAAACTCCATCCCAGGAAGCACACTTCTATTAACTCACACATCTCTCCACATTATCTCCTCACACAGCACAGCAGCTTAGCTGTCTCTTTTAAGGAAAACCTTTGAGGCAGGATTTCAGCTGTATGCTGTATGCATGTATGCTACTTATTCACGTTTCTTTGTTTAGAAAAGGGTTATCAGCAGCCAGCTGCATCACATCACTCAATGGCTCATTGAGACTGCAGTGGATGGATGGATGGATGGATGAATGGTGTGCATGTGTGTATGTGTGTGTGTGTTTGAGTCTGTGTGCATGTGAATCAGACTGAGAAACACAGTATGTGCTCCGTGGCTGTGATTGAATTTGAATCTGCCACTTATTCTCGAGTGCTCTCTCCAAAGTCTGATTCAGACTGCACTGCAATGCTAAATAAGGCAGTGACATTTCAAACAACCTTCAATGCAGCTGACATTCCATTATGAGATATCAGAGAGCCTGTGTAGAATGAGAGAACCAGCCTATATGACACAGACTGGACCGGGGGTAAAATGACAAACACTGACAATGGAAAGTGTTTTATTCAAGGTTTGCTCATGGCTCTTGGGAAGGTGCCTAGTTAGTAAGGGGAGTGTAAAAGTAATTTTTTTGTCAAAGATCAGGGCATTGTCAGCTCTGAGCTACAGGTCTACTAGTCTCTTTGACAGCTAGCGTGAGATTTGATCATGGCTTTGAAAATGCAGATATTCAGGTCTGCCCTTAATTATTGTATAACTAGGGTCAGGTCATATGGTTAGGAAAAACTCCTGGAAAAACTCCTGGGCCTAATTATGACTGGGTGACAATGGTAAATCCACGGGTTTCATGACAGATTACTAGCATGTCTATGTGCCAGCTGGCATATCTCTGTGTCAGTCATCTGTGCTTACATTGAACCTATGCTCCACTAAACCTTCATAATGTACAGTGGTGCATACATAAACATACAGTACAAAATCTACATTCAGTCAATTAGTGTTATTCTCTGACCCAGGTATCTATTATCAACAGATTAGCTGTACTTAAATTCCTTGGCTGTGACACAGCCAAATTCATGTGACTTGCTGGGTAAGAATCAACTGATTTGTTCCTGTTTCTTTGACGATGGGGGACATAAAACACTTCCTATATTGATCTAGCCCTGTCTGTCAGCAATGCGGATGCAGCCCCAGAGTGAGAGGTGGATTAGGGTGGACATGGCAAGCCTGTCAAATTCCTAGGGTAGGCCAGGGGACATTGACACACTCAATGTGTGGTACCATGACACTCAAAAGTCCCCTTAGTTTTATCTTTGTGAGAATGTGTCAATTCAATCTGGTTGTCATTTTGAAAGGGTCACATATTGTTTGTAAATGACAAGGCCATATTCACTACATTATTTCTAATTTCACATAATGTACTATTTCCCCTGCTCCTGTCATTATTTTAGAGAGTCACGGAGGAGCACAAGCATCCTCTGTGCTACAGTGTTTTACACTGAACCCTCCGCTTCCACTCTGTCTGCTACATTATTGATGACCTCAGCCGTCTAGGCCACCGTTGCGCTTACACAAAGCCTACAGGGTACACACAGAGCAACTACAGAACAGCATTCAACCCAGCGCTAACCTCCACACCACCTGTCTCACTGACTCAAGGTAGGGCTGTGTCGGTCATGATTGCATTTTGGTCAACAAGAATTACTCTCTAGGACTTCCGAGTGGCGCAGCAGTCTAAGGCACTGCATCGCAGTGCTAGAGGCATCACTACAGACCCGGGTTCGATCCCGGGCTGTGTCACAACCGGCCGTGATCAGGAGTCCAATAGGGCGGCGCACAATTTGCCCAGCATCGTCTGGGTTAGTCGAGGGTTTGGCCGGGGGGCTTTACTTGGCTCATTGCACACTAGTGACTCCTTGTGGCGGGCCGGGCACCTGCAGGCTGACCTCGGTCGTCAGTTGAACTGTGTTTTCTCCGACACATTGGTACGGCTGGCTTCCGGGTTAAGCAGGCGGGTGTTAAGAAGTGCGGTTTGGCGGGTCATGTTTCGGAGGACGCATGACTCGACCTTCACCTTCCGAGCGCGTTGGGTTGTTGCAGCAATGAGACAAGATCAAAATTGTGGAGTAAAAGGGGGTAAAATACCAACAAACAAACTGGATTGTATTCAAACAGGCTTAAATGCATCTTTGTGATGTCTTCAGAAACCTTTTGAATTACTGTGATCTGAAGAGTAGTGAGGTTGACATGTACAGAAGCATAACATGCGTTGGCCCTGAGTTTTACCTGACCATGTGACCTGACCAAGAAAAATCCCAAGCCCTGACTACTGTAGGCTATAAGTATAGGGCATAGATACTTTATTGGCCAGGTCAAATGGTCAGGAAAACTCAGGGCCCATTAGAAGTCCTATTCATCATTCATAAAAATCCCAGGAACCCCACAAATGTCTTGTTTTTGTAATGAAGTCTAATTTAATATCCTCTATGTCCTCCCTCTATCTCAGGAACTCATCGGGCTAGTCATTATTATAAGGGGGGAGAAAGAGAGAGAGAGAGAGAGAGAGAGAGAGAGAGAGAGAGAGAGAGAGAGAGAGAGAGAGAGAGAGAGAGAGAGAGAGAAAGAGCAAAAACAGAAAAGAGAAAGAGAGAGTGTGCAGACAGTTAATCAGATTATCTTGCACACCTGAGAGAATTAAGATGTTACCCACTTTGGATGTGGATTTCTTGCCACGTGAGTGACTGATAGAGAGAATGTAATGTGACTTTTCTAAATCCTAAATCCTGAGTCAATAGTCAATAGTCAATGGTTCATTTTGGCATGACACTGGTGACAGAAAAGTGGTAAACATAATTTTCTAAAGTCTTGACCATAAACCATAAACACAGCCCATTTCCTGCAGAGCTTTCTGTGGGCACACAGCTTAGCTGGTGAATTATTTACTGTAATTGCTGTGACAGAAGAGCCACTTCTTAACCTCATATTCCTTATCTCCAGCACCATGCCAGTCTACATATGTGAAAAAATATAAGAAGGAAGTTCTTAAAAAATGCTTCTCTGTGACATCACAGGCTAGGATTAAAAGAAGAGTTTTCAAAACCTGCAACCAGTTTCTAGCCAGAGGGAGTGTATTTTGTTTCTACCCATGTCACCACGAATTTCATAGTGCTTGAAAGTCACTGTTTTTAAGTGTTTGAACGTTTCATGATGTCATGTCAACGTTTGAACTTTATATGTTTTTCTACAAAACATAGAAATGTGCAGTTTTCACATATATAGGCAATGGTATTGTGCTGGAGAAAATGAAAATGAGTTTGAAAAGTGGTGGAGTTGCCCTTTAAGGTCAAAGTCCTAATGCATGAGTTCTCCTCTCATTACTGTCCTAAGAAGGACCCCTCCCACTAGTACAGCACACTAATAAGTGGAGAGCTCATCTGCTCTCTGTCTTTGCTTTTGTCTACATACATTTATGTAATCATGCAATGCAAATCTAGACACTGAGGTATCTCTAATTCTCACCTATTCTGACAGCTATCACCAAGAAATAAATGCTAAATCCAGCCTACTATATATGGCAGAGGAGGTAATACAAATTGGTACTAAACGTTTTAGGAAGCATCAACTGGGGCCAGGAGCTTTTCCTGACAACAAGACCTGACTAGGAAAAAACCAGAGTTTTTTCTGGTCAGGGTACGTGGTCAGGAAAAAGTCCTGCCCCATACATCTGTTCGCTTGAGGATCGTAGACAGACAATGTGGTGTATGTTACTGTACCTCTCTTTCTCCAGCACGGCCCTTCCCGGATGGTGTAGGAGAGCTCTGTGAATTCCAGGTCCACCGCCGAACGCTTGGGGAGATGGGAGAAATGCTGGGCCTCTGTGATGTGGTTCTCCACTTTCTTCAGATTTGTCAACAGAGATGGCTCCTGTGTTCCCCCATTACAGATGGTTTCCTCCATCGGGATGCTGACCGGTTCAGGTTCAGGAGGCTTTTCGGCCATGCAACTATCGGCCGTACCACCGTTCTGCAACGGGGGTGTAGGGTTGTGTCTCAGGCCCTACAGGAGGGGGGAAGAAAAATATTTAGATTTTTTTCTCCCATATCATATCTTTATTTTTATTTACATTGTCTATGTTTTTTATTGAGTGGTGTGTATTCATCCTGCCTGCAAACCAAATTTCCATATGGAATAATAAAGATTACCTTTAACCACATGGCGGTGCAATTCCTTTAGGATATGGTGGTTCAAATGTGCCAAACACACACACAATCCGGTAATTGTGCAGCTGGTAAGAACATCATCCGACAAAATGTATTCTTCCTTCCTTCCTATACATGAAGTACAGGTCTGTAAGGTGGAGCTGGTCTAGATGTTAGTGCTCTGGTAAGAAGCACATATCTGGTTACAGTCTAAAGAGGCTGTGCTGATGCTTAGACATCACTGAGTAGCAGCAAGTCCCAGGAGGTTGTTTTGAGGAGAGGAAACACCACTCGCTAACTGCAGAGGCAGTGAACAAACATGTCTGTCTGTCTGTCTGTCTGTCTGTCTACCCAACCCTCAGAGCCAAACATCATGGATTCTGTTCTGCTCAAGCTGTCAGGGGGATATGTGCTTGTGATAAGAACTGGCTGTAGTTTCACTTTGATGAGGATTGTACGATTGTATAACGTTCCCTGGGAAGTTCGGAATTACACGTAGACGTAACTGTATTCCGAGGACTTCCATTGTTTCGGAGGATGCTAAGCGTCTGAGAAATGCAATATTTTCCGTGATCATAAAGTGATTAATCCGTTATTATAAAGATTATTGAAATAGAGATATGTAATCTGGACTTTGTTCTTAAAAGAGCCCACTGTAAAGATCCCAGACGAAGGTGGTATAGTAATTTGTCCTTTTTTTTTTTCTAAAGACAGAAGTCACATTTAATCACTCATGGGTTCCTAATCCCTTGAGGATTAACAATTACTTTATTTTACCCTTGATCTGGGAGGGCTGGGAGCTGAGGTTGGGAATTAAGGCCTGGAGCTGAGTCTTGGGAAAGTTGCAGCCATTACAGGTACACTACCAAGCACTCCACTAATGTATGGGAATGGTGTGATCCTCGACTTGCCCTTATTACAAATCTCGGTGCACACATTCTACTGACAGAGGGGAGAGAGGAAACTCTATTGGTGTCAAGGGATCCAGATTTGAAAAAAGATACAGCCATGTTACGTAGGCCTAATATGTCACGAGTCATGACAGCCAAACTAGAAACGACTGTACTATAGGCTAATCCATGCCTGTCCTCTTCTGAACTGACCTCACTTATCAGGCCTTAGATCATTCAACTCAAATATCCCATAGCAGGCCTACATCTCTAGTTCAGGACCTTATGACACCTTTGTAACTATTACATAACACCTATATCTATTAATGTTCATACATTTTGGTTCAGGAAGATATTAACATCTCACCTGTTGTATTTGAATGTCAGGTTAATTGTGTCTCATTTCACAAGTATTTCATTCAGGACAGGTTTTTTTCAGATGTGCATTTCCATCTACACTAAATGGTTCTTCAGCTTGTGTCTGTAGAATAACATGTAATGGTTCCAGGTAGAACCCATAGAACCCTTTTAAAACCCTTTCTTCCACAGAGAACCTTCTTGGATGACAAAGGTTCCATGTAAAACCCTTATCCCTGTGTAGAGGAACTTTTGGAACCTTTTTTAAAAAGAGTGTAGGACTGTGTGTAAATGTTGGTTACTTATGGAAACCAAGACGGGTTCAATTAAGTTACTACTTTTAAAACATACGCTACAGACAGAGCTGGCGAACACAATGGGATGGAGAAATTGATATATGGGTCTAACCTCAACTGTTGTCATATGAATCATATCATATCACATCAATCATAATATCATATCACATCAATCTAACTACATTTATTCATTCGTTTGATCACTATGTCACTCACAGGAAGGAGAGCAAACGATTATCATATTTCAACTAAGGGCTGAGGAAGGCAAGCTTTTTGATAAGTAATGTAGAATATCTGCCTGAAGAATATTGAGATCAATAGGGAAGTGGGCTTGGTCTCTTATGACTTACTGTAGGTCTTCTAGTAAGACCTACATTCATAGAAGAGTCTTTGGAGAAAGGCTCACGTTCCAACTGAATGCCCTGTACAGCACAGTCCCCCACCACACATAGAACACTTTGATTTGCCAGTGGGGTTGAAAGGAGTCGGTTAACCCCATGCCATCATGTCCAAAGCCATGGAAGTAAAATAAATAATGGCATTAAACACTAGGCTAATCAATACATCCCACTGATGTTATTGTATCCTATAAACAGGTCCCTGTTTGGCTCCATTTCTCACAATTACGCCCTATCTATGGGAATTAACGAGACTAAATAGCTATACCTACACTGTAAAAGGCTTACCATGAATTTGACAGTATTTTACAGGCAGCTCAGTGGCAAGTAACATTATGTATTTAATATTACAGTACACCTACTTTAATATAAATACAGTATCAAAGCAAGTACTGTGTAATGACACAGTACAATACCGTAGAACTGACTGTATTACACTGTAAAAGTTAATGCTACCGTTATTGGAATGAATGGATGAACGAATGGATGAATTAACTAAATTCATTGAGGGGAGGGGTTTGTATTTCACAGTATTTTACTGTAATTACAAGGGATCGGTGCAAGCAGGTTGGCTGCTAGGTAAAGTGTTTACACATTACAGCATATTAATGACTTCTAGAGGCCTTAACAAAGGCTTCCAAACTGGCAGCGACTACGGGGCAAAACAGACCAAAAGGACCAAAATGCTCAACCATTTAAGGTTTAAGACTAGCTGCCACTCCAATCTGTCCTTATAGATAGATTTACCCACTATCATTCCCATGCACCTGCTTCAAGATGTCCACCATCATCCTGTGCCCAATAAAGGGAAAGTAGCTGAACTGAATGACTACCGACCCGTAGCACTCACTTCCGTCATCATGAAGTGTTTCGAGAGGCTAGTCAAAGACCACATAACCTCCTCCTTCCCCGATACACTCCACCGTCTCCAATGCGCCTACTGTCCCGACAGATCCACGGACAACGCAATCACCATTGCACTGCCAATGCCCTCACCCACCTGGACAAAAGGAATGCATATGTGAGGATGCTGTTCATCGACTACAGCTCGGCCTTCAATAACATAGTGCCCTCTAAGCTCACCAAAAAGCTCACGGCGCTGGGTCTGAACTCCTCCCTATGCAACTGGGTCCTGGACTTCCTGACGGGCCGCCCCCAGGTGGTGAAGGTAGGCAACTACCTCCTCCACACTGATACTCAACACGGGGGCCCCACAAGGGTGCGTCCTCAGTCTCCTCCTGTACTCCCTGTATACCCACGACTGCGTCCAACTCCATCATCAAGTTCACTGATGACACGACAGTAGTAGGCCTGATTACCAACAACTACGAGACGGCCTACAGGGAGGAAGTAGGCACTCTGACGATGTGGTGCCAGGTAAACAACCTCTCCCTCAACATCAGCAAAACAAAAGCGCTGATTGTGGATTTAGGAGGAACCAGGCTGGGCACGCCCCCATTCTCATCAACGGGGCCGCCGTGGAGACGGTCAAAAACGTTAAGTTCCTCGGTGTACACATCTCCGGGGAGCTGAAATGGTCAAACTACACAGACACAGTGGTGAAGAAGGCACGACAGCGACTCTTCAACCTCAGGAGACTGAAGAAATTGGGCCTGTCCCCTAGGGCCCTCAGTGTTCTACAGGAGCTGCATCACAGCTTGGTACGGCAACTCCATCGCCGCTGACCGCAAGGCGTTACAGAGGGTGGTACGCTCAGCCGAATGCACCATTGGGTGCACACTGCCTGCCCTCCAGGACACCTACAACACCAGGTGTTGCAGGAAGGCCAAGAAGATCATCAGGGACCCCAGCCATCCGGACTGTTCTCCCCACTTCCATCACTCAGGTGCAGGCATTATAGGAGCATCATGGCAAAAAACTGAAAGAATGGCCAGTAGTTTCTACCCCCAGACCATCAAGCTGCTGAATAGCCACCACTAGTCAGCTACCTTCTCCCCCTGTACCCCTACTGCTCCCCCTATGGACATCCCCCCCACCCCAACAGACATTTACCCTGCCCCCTGCCCCCAATGGTCATTTATCATGTTACAGTTGTAAATATGTATATATTATTATTGTTATTATTACATATATATATTTTTAAATGTTTTATTGTTCATTCCACTTCCCTTTGACCTGCACTGTTGGAGATAGGCGCTTAAGATTTTCACTGTACCCTGCATTTACATCTGCAACCCTGTGCATTTGACTAATAAACTCTCTAAATCTCTATATTTTAAATTGATGGGGCACTACAACCACATAGGGAGTTAAATTGGTACAGCATTCCCCCCTCATGGGTGCAACAAATATAGCCCCTTACAAGACATGCCTCAAAATATGTTAATGAGCCAGAAACAACAATACCATAACTCACTAGTGCTCAAAATGATGATTGGCGCTCCAAAGATATGGAAAGAATTACAGTACAGTTCAAAATACAGCAATTTTCTCACAATGCACCCTAATTTACCATGTTTCTCACAATGCACCACAATGTTTAATTTTGTATTTATTTTTTACTGTTGATAATACCTCCAATTACCATTTAAATTACAGGTTTCTGTTACAGTTTATATGTAATAAATGGATCTGATTAACTTTGAAATGATACAATGACAAATGTCATAATACTTCATCATAATAATAGGAAAACATCGTTACAAAAGAACTCACCTGAAGTTAACTCAGAACAAGAGGAATGTATTCTGTTCCTTGCTCTATCATGTGAATTAAGACGAGACAGGATTAATTTAACAGCACTTGTAAATAAAATCGATTGAATCATGTCAAGTAGCACATGCAGTTTACAATAACGTCTGGTCTATGTTGGTGCGTCCTTACTATTAGGATATGAAGATGACAACTCGCTGTCCTCTTCTAGTAAATCCTGAGGTGCGCTAGAACTGGCAGATCTGTCCTGAAATAAAAAGATCCGCTCTCATTTCCGAGATGTGACGACTATCAGTCATTCAGTCCCATTTCGGAAAGATAATTAATGGATAGCCCAACCTGTGGTTCTGTGAAAAAATGCAACTTTCAACTAAATTAAATAACAACTGATACAATGACAGACCTTACATTCGCGTCTTCCCAATAAGTTTGCTTTATCTGGCGGTATTCAGCCTGTTATCTTCACACTGCGTACCGCAACATAGGCTAGGCTACACAGTCACGGTATTGCCAGCTTCTAGCATTCAGCGGTCTTTGCCTGTGTCGCCAAGGCTTTACTTGCGGGCTTTCTGGGTGGGGACCAGGTGGGCGTTTTGAGGCGAGATGTTAAAGCGTCAATCAGCAGTTGAAACAATATCAAAGCACACCCCGCCACTGTTTAGCTAAAACGTTGAGGCATGGGACTGGAGAAATGTAAGCACTCTCAAATTCATAGACAGAGCTATGGATGCAAGGACTTTTTTCTCATGGGAAAAATTCGAGGCCAATGCCCCCTGCTACATTGTTCTTGGAAATACAGTTCCATTTATCTTAATTCAGGATTACAGGGGACGTTATGTAAACTGTATCCTACCTCAATGGATAACCTACAGAATAGCCTTATAGTATTCATTTCTAATATCTTAGAAATGTAAATTGATTTAAAAAATAAATAAATACATTAACCAGGTAAGCCAGTTGAGAACAAGTTCACATTTACAACTGCGACCTGGCCAAGATAAAGCAAAGCAGTGTGAATATGGCTATGCAGGGATAGATTGGCCTATTTATAGCTATTTTTTTAGCCAATTTATAACATTTACATTTTAGTCATTTAGCAGACGCTCTTATCCAGAGTGACTTACAGGAGCAATTAGGGTTAAGTGCCTTGCTCAAGGGCACATCGACAGATTTTTCACCTAGTCGGCTCGGGGATTAGAACCAGCGACCTTTCGGTTACTGGCACTACGCTCTTAAGCTATGACATGTCCTGTTATGTAGGCCTATGTATAGCCTAAAGCAGTTGCATCAGATCAGTCTTATCCCCCAGCTTGCCCCCTTTCCCTGAAACTTAGGCCCATCATTAGCCTACTTATCAAAACTATTGGAAACTCTGGGGGCTGACAGAAATGAGGAGAACGTCTGTGACATCTTGAATGTTGCACAACTGTGTGTGTGTCTGTGTGTGTTTGTAGGTGTCTCCACACATGCGTGTGTGTATGTGTTTTATATCTTCAAGCAATGTTCATGATATTGTTGTTCCTTTAGGTTGTTGGAGACAACATTGAATTCCACAGAAAAATGCAGGGATGTGATGATAATGGCAACGTGCCACAACTGGGGGCTGCATTTCTAAGAGACTGTCTCAGCCCTCTGTACACAGTATGGCAAGTTGAGGCTTGAACACCTGAAAATGTACAAACCTCTACTGTTTCATTGTTTCATTGTCATTTCAACAGCTAGAGGGCAGAATTTGTCAGCACTGGCTCCTGGTGTGTGGGGTGTGGGAAAGACGTATGCCCTAATTCAATCAATTGCAGATAAAGGTAAACCACACTGTGGGTTTCCTCAGAATGTGCATGCTTTATTCTAAGGACTTGTGTGGTTTATGTCCCTATCCAATGGGAATATCAGAGACATGCCGCGTTCACATGCTAGTCGGAACTAGGAAACTTACATTTTCGACTCACTAACTTGTAGTTATACATGTGCCGCGTTCAACCAGTTAGCAAGTCGGACATTTCTGAGTTTTGACTAGCACCTGAACGCGGCAACAGTCACAGTAGCAACTTGCAGGCTGTGGTTAACTCTGACACAGTACATTCTGAGTGAATCTGTAGTGTGGTTTTCCCTTTATCTGCAACTGATTGAATAGGGGCCTGTGAGAGTGTGATTTGAAGGAGTCAGGCGCAGGAGGGTAAATCACAGAATACAGAGTTTATTCCGTAGTACACAGTTACGCTGGATAGCGTCAACAGTCCAGTGCGCAAAACAGGCGCACTGGAACAAATAGAGGCACACAGGGAAAATATACCCCGGCAATACAAAGTACAGGTAGCTACACTCATCTCACATGAAACAATAACCCACAAGGACAAGAGGGCAGAGGGAACACTTATACACGTACTAATGGGGGGAATATGAACCAGGTGTGTGTAATTGACAAGACAAGACAAATGGAATGATGAGATATGGAGCGGCAGTGGCTAGAAGGCCGGTGATGACGAACGCCGAAGCCTGCCCGAACAAGGAGGGGAGGCAGCTTCGGAGGAAATCGTGACAGGGCCTAAGAGCACAAGGTTTGAAGTGACTACTCGGAAACAAGCAAAACTAATTTAATTAATTAACCAATTGACTGGAAATAAATAACTGTTTTTGGAAGCCAAGATGCACTCCTACCACCAGGGCATGCAAGTATGCTCTTTGCATGAAAGGCTCTTCTGGATGTAATGAAGCAATAAAAAGTTCAAAGGCACTGTGTAATTCTAAAAAGCCTTCATTGACCTATTTCAACAGCATATCAGTTTAAATTAGCTTCTCTTTATCGAAAAAGTTAAGAAGAGTTGTAAAGCTGTGAGGGGACATACGCACACACAGACACACTCTAACACACACATTTTTTGTTGTTGTATTGTTTTTATTCTTTTTTTTCCTCTTTTTTTTTGTGAGTGTATCAGTGTTTGTTACTTGTCATGTTTTCTGTTTGTTTTTTTGCCAACCCCAGGAAGAGTATCTGCTGCTTCTGCAAAACCTAATGGGGACCCCCCCCCCCCCCCAAAAAAAAAGCTATGTGTAAATTCAACTCAAAAGTTGTGATAATAAAAAAACAGATATATATATTTTACTGGTAACAAACATTATTTGCACTGTCCCTTTAAGACCAGCACCTGTTCCATTGATTCTGATGCTGCAGTCTAGGTTACCTTGGGTGAGGCTTAAGGTTACTAGAGTTCAGATGAATTCTCAAGTGTATACACCAACACACTATCTAACAATAAAGCATGATCAGATCTGCTATATCTTCATATGTGTATGCATAATGTCCTGTAAGTTCATATGGAGATAAGATACACTACATGACTAAAAGTATTTGGACACCTGCTCGTCGAACATCTCATTCCAAAATCATGGGCATTAATATGGAGTTGGTACCCGCTTTGCTGCTATAACAGCCTCCACTCTTCTAGGAAGGTTTTCCACTAGATGTTGGAACATAGCTGCGGGGCTTGCTTCCATTCAGCCACAAGAGCATTAGTGAGGTCGGGCACTGATGTTAGGCGATTAGGCCTGGCTCGCAGTCGGCGTTCCAATTCATTCCAAAGGTGTTAGATGAGGTTGAAGTCAGGGCTCTGTGCAGGCCAGTCAAGTTCTTCCACACCGATCTCGACAAACCATTTTTTTGTATGGACCTCCTGACTAACAGTTATTGTGCTGATGTTGCTTCCAGAGGCAGTTTGGAACTCGGTAGTAAGTGTTGGAACTCGGTAGTGAGGACAGACGATTTTTACGCACTACACGCTTCAGAACTCGGCGGTCCCGTTCTGTGAGCTTGTGTGGCCTACCACTTTGCGGCTGAGCCGTTGTTGTTCCTAGACGTTTCCACTTCACAATAACAGCACTTACAGTTGACCGGGGCAGCTCTAGCAGGGCACAAATTTGATGAACTGACTTGTTGGAAAGGTGGCATCCTATGACGGTGCCACGTTGAAAGTCTCTGAGCTCTTCAGTAAGGCCATTCTACTGCTAATGTTTGTCTATGGAGATTTCATGACTGTGTGCTCAATGTTATACACCTGTCAGCAACAGGTGTGGCTGAAATAGCTGAATCCACTAATTTGAAGGGGTGTCCACATACTTGTGTATATATAGTGTATATTGCTAAAGGCTGGTAGGCTGGAAATTATTCTTATATTTAACAAATCAACATGCTCAATTTCAGAATGAAGAAAATACATTATTGAGCTACTTTGAATGATTTGGAAGCATGCCCTTATTCTACATAAAGATTGTTGTGCCCCTCCATTTTAGTTACTCCTGAGTGGCGCAGTGGTCTAAGGCACTGCATCGCAGTGCTAGCTGTGCCACTAGAGATCCTGGTTCAAATCCAGGCTCTGTCTTGACCGGGAGACCCATGGGGCGGCACACAATTGGTCCAGGGGAGGGAATGGCCGGCAGGGATGTAGCTCAGTTGGGTTCGATTCCCACGGGGGGTCAGTATTAAAAAAATAATGTATGCACTCACTAACTGTAAGTCGCTCTGGATAATAGTGTCTGCTAAATGACTAAAATGTAAGTTGTTACATACTGGAATGGTGACCCCTGTTGGAGGAACAGAGTTAACTTAAAAGATCCCACTCTCTTTATATATTTATTTAGAATAATATTTGGTGTAGAGGCATATTTGAGAACAAAATGGTAGTCTAGATAGGGGATTAGGCACAGGATCAGAACCATTGAATTAGGAATTAGAACTCTGGGGCTATCATTCTGGAGCATCATAATGTCCTAATTCTTAAGCATCATAATGCCCAGTGTTGGGGAGGAGTGAACTACATGTTGGCTGGAGGAGGGTAATGGAAAGGGGGAGATAGAGAGAGTTAAGGAGAGTTTGGATGCAGAGATGAAGGAGGACACTGTGAAGGCTCTCTATGAACTGCTGGAGAAGATCGAGAAGGAGGGAGAGAAGATGGAAATAAAGCAGAAGGTGTTGGAGAAGGGAGTGGAGTTTGCAAAGGATAAAATGAAGAAGAGGAAGGAGGAGGTAAAGAGGAAGGAGAAGGAGGCAGCCAGGCAGAGAGATTTGGTGGAGAAAGACAAACAGAGGGTGAGGAGGAAGGTCAGTGAAGAGGAGGAGAAGAGGGAGGAGGTAGATATGAAAGACAACGGGCTGGATGGACAGAAAGAGAAACTGGAGAAGAGAAAGAAGCTGGACATTTTGGAGAAAGTTGGAAAGTTGGAGTTGGAAAAGGAGAAAGAGAAGTTAGAGAGGAGGAATAAGATTGTGGAAAGGTTGAAAGTGGATGTGGATGAGAGATTGAAAAAGATGACAAGAACATGAGAGATGATGAAAAAGAAAGAGAAGGAGATGGACAGAATTAAAATGGATGTGGAAGAGAATGCAAGGGAGCAGGTGAAGAAAGTGAGAGAGGAGTTGGTGGGATTGAAGGAGAAGATAAAAATAGAAAAGAGGGGTAGCAAAGAGGAGAGAAAGAAGTGGAGAGAAAGAGGGAGGATGAGAAGAGGAAGGTGGAGGTGGAGCGTGTGAAGAAGGATATGGAGGAGAGGAAGGTGGAGGTGGAGCGTGTGAAGAAGGATATGGAGGAGAGGAAGGTGGAGGTGGAGTGTGTGAAGAAGAATATGGAGGAGAGGAAGGTGGAGGTGGAGCGTGTGAAGAAGGATAATGGAGGAGAGGAAGGTGGAGGTGGAGTGTGTGAAGAAGGATATGGAGGAGAGGAAGGTGGAGGTGGAGCGTGTGAAGAAGGATATGGAGGAGAGGAAGGTGGAGGTGGAGTGTGTGAAGAAGGATGAGAAGAGGAAGGTGGGGCGTGTGAAGAACAATATGGAGGACAGGCTTAAGATGGAGATAGAGAGGGTGATGACAGAGATGGAGGACAAGAAAGAGAAAGAGGTGGGGCAGGTGAAGGTAGGGACAGAGGAAATGTGGAAGACCAAGATGAAGAAAGTGAGAGAGATAATTGAGGCTGTGGAAGAGAAGATAAACAAGAGAGATGAGCTGGGAAGGAGGGAAATAGAGGAGAAGAGAGAGAAACAGGTGAGGCAGATAAAGGTGGAGTTGGAAGAGAAGTGGAAAACAGAGATGAAGAGTCAGAGAGTGGATTAAGAGAATGGAGGAGAAGACGACACAGAGAGAGTAAATCGAGAGAAAAAGGGAAGAAGACATGAAAAGATTGATGGAGGAGTTGGAAGGATTGAAGGATATGATGAAGGAGAGTGAGAAAGAGGTAGAGAGAGTTAAGGAGGAAATGTAAAATAAAGAGAAGGAGAGGGAGAGAGAGAGAGGAGGTGGAAAAGAGGGTCAAGAAGGAAATGTAGTTGGTGAGAGAGGAGGGGGAGGGAGAAAATGAAAGACAAGGAAGCATACATGGACACATTGTTGGAGCTGAAAGAAAAACACTAAGAGACTGGAGAATGTCAACGAACCTACCAGGTACAACCCTAAATCCGTAAACATGGGTACCCTCATAGATATCATCCTGACTAACTTACACTCTAAATACACCTCCGCTGTCTTCAACCAGGATCTCAGCGATCACTGCCTTATTGCCTGTGTCCATAACGGGTCCGCGGTCAAACGACCACCCCTCATCACTGTCAAACGCTCCCTAAAACACTTTAGCGAGCAGGCCTTCCTAATTGACTTGGCCCAGGTATCCTGGATGGATATAGATCTCATTCCGTCAGTAGAGGATGCCTGGTTGTTCTTTAAAAGTAATTTCCTCTCAATCTTAAATAAACATGCCCCATTCAAAAAATACAGAACTAAGCACAGATATAGCCCCTGGTTCTCCTCAGACTTGACTGCCCTTGACCAGCACGAAAACATCCTGTGGCATACTGCATTAGCATCAAATAGCCCCCGCGATATGCAACTTTTCAGGGAAGTTAGGAACCAATATACACAAGCAGTTAGGAAAGCAAAGGCTAACTTTTTCAAACAGAAATTTGCATCCTGTAGCACTAACTCCAAAAAGTATTGGGACACTGTAAAGTCCATGGAGAATAAGAGCACTTCCTCCCAGCTGCCCACTGCACTGAGGCTAGGAAACACTATCACCACCGATAAATCTACAATAATCGAGAATTTCAACAAGCATTTTGCTACGGCTGGCCATGCTTTCCACCTGGCTACCACTACCCCGGCCACCAGCTCTGCACCCTCCGCTGCAACTTGCCCATGCCCCCCCCCCGCTTCTCCTTCACATAAATTCAGACAGCTGATGTTCTGAAAGAGCTGCAAAATCTGGACCCCTACAAATCATCTGGGCTAGACAATCTGGACCCTTTCTTTCTAAAACTAGCCGCCGAAATTGTCGCAACCCCTATTACTAGCCTGTTCAACCTCTCTTTCGTAACATCTGAGATCCCCAGATATTGGAAAGCTGCCACGGTCATCCCCCTCTTCAAAGGGGGTGACACTCTAGATCCAAACTGTTACAGACCTATATCCATCCTGCCCTGCCTTTCGAAAGTTTTTGAAAGCCAAGTTAACAAACAGATCACCGACCATTTCGAATCCCACCGTACCTTCTCCGCTATGCAATCCGGTTTCCGAGCTGGTCATGGGTGCACCTCAGCCACGCTCAAGCTCCTAAACGATATTATAACCGCGATCGATAATAGACAGTACTGTGCAGCCTTCTTCATCGACCTGGCCAAGGCTTTCGACTCTGTCAACCACTGCATTCTTATTGGCAGACTAAATAGCCTTGATTTCTCAAATGACTGCCTCGCCTGGTTCACCAACTACTTCTCATATAGAGTTCAATGTGTCAAATCGGAGGGCCTGTTATCTGGACCTATGGCAACGATTGCAGTCAGAGTGCAGTAGAACTGCAGTACATGTAGTATAACTGTAGTTAGAATGCAGTTTAACTGCAGTATGCTGCAAATACTGCGTCTAAAATAACACTTATATTTACTGCAGTAATTTTGCAGTGCAACTGCAGTCACAGTGCAATATAAACAGTTCAACTACAGTACACTGCAGTTATTCTGCAATCACTGAGTCCAAAATATCACAGTCGACTGCAGTTACTGCACTTTGGCTGCAGGTTCAAAACTTTCTGTAAGGGCATGATTGTAGCGGTTTACTAACACTTTCGTTCTAGTAGCTATGTTGACTTGACATTAGCTAATATAGTGACAACGGTTAGTGGTCATGATATGAAGGTTTGGCTTGGAAAGGTTTTTTCGCCTGGTCACAGACAGCTGATGTGTTTTGCACTGAAGTCCACAAACGAAGGGAAAATGTGAGAGGATAGAGCCTAAATGCGAAAAGGAATTATCCAATGATCAAAGGGGCTCATGCTGTTTGTAAATAGATGTTGGCAAAATACCTCCCTGCACTTTCTCACTGCAAAAAAGCTGCAGGAGCAGCTGTGTGGGTGTGTATGTGTGTCTGTGTGTGTGTCCTCAATGTGCAGCTGGCAGCTAAATTTGCTGTCACTCAGTCAGAATGCGCATTAGTTTAATGTGTTTTCCATATCCTTGCCCCACTTGTTAGATATTATGCAAATTGATAGCTTGATAGCAAACGTCCTCGCCATGTGATTTATCATAGTAGCAGGCAGCAGCAACCTAAATAATCAGACCGAAACATGCGAGGCAATGTGATCGGGTAAAATTATGAAGCGAGTGGACGGAGAAATACAGCTTTACTCTATCCAATCAGAGCAGCAGGATCAACGTACAGCCCGCCCTTCTCTTTACAGACATGCAAACTAGCCAGTTGAGTTATTTAGACCGCACAAAGACAGTACACTATGGTTTAGAAACTCTGTGACTGACTGACATGACAAAGATGCTTGCTGGCACCCGAAACGACGTTTTTTTTTCAGATTACGGATATTACAAAGAATACTCTGATCAAAATCGTATCCAGAAAGTTGCCCATATCCGTTACGATACTCGTTTTGTCCGACTATGTGAAAGTGAACTGTGTTTGCGTGTGATCAGGGGTGTCTTCATTCCACGAATTCTGTTGAAAAACGTTTCTTAAAAGGAAGCAAACGGAACGAAACGGGGTTTAACATACTTTAATTTGTCCAATAGAAACTCGCGTTTGCAACTGTTGGACTAATGATTACACCCTAGATCAGCTAGATGCAGGCAATATTGTGCAGTGTGGTATTCACTGTGTCAATGTCTGTCACCTTGATTACTGAAATGTCTCTCCACCTTTGCACCTGCGTTGTAAACTTCCATTCCTAGGCAAGGTTGTAGCAACCTCATGATGGGTATAGGGAAAATTCGAGTATCATGTAGTGGCCTAAACCTATCGATGTTACATTGAGCTGGGTGAATGGAATATGAATGACAGTGATCCAATATGCTGTAATAGAAATAAAGCCATGCTCATAAAAAACCTGTTCCACTGATGCTGCAGATTGTAGGTTACTTTGAGTGAGGCTTGAGGTTACTAGAGTTCAAATTCCTTCTCAAGTGTATACAATAGACCAACACACTATCTAACATTAAAGTATTATCCGATCTACTATATTGTCATATGTGTATGAATAACATAAGTTCATATGGAGATTTTGTAAAAGGCTGTTAGGTTTGACATTATTCATATATTTAATTTAATCAACATGCTCAATTTCCTAATTTAAAATATATTATTGAGCGTACCTTGATTGACTTGTAAGCATGTCCTTATATACTGTACTTTACCTTAATTTTTGTGGCCCTCAATCTAAGTAATTACTTAATGGTGACCCCTGGTGGGTAAACAGTGAAACTAAAGATCCTCTACAGGCATCTCACAGTTGAGTATTTGGCATCACAATACATGACAATGAGTTGGCATGATAGCACTTGTAAACAGATTGGCACTCACGCCACATGCCAGTTCAAAACATACGTTACACATGCATTACACAATAACTTGAGAAAAGGGAAGTGGTAATATATTTCTGTCCCTTTCCCAGATAAGGAGTGGCTACCGGTTCAACATAAAAAGCATTGTGTGAAATGAGTACTGTACACTTCCAACTGAACCTGAATACATGATGAGTATGATGACCATAGCATCTCTTCTCTCCGCAGCTCTGCTGTTGCTGGTTCCTGGGATCCTGACTGAAAGTAATGTAGAATATATTGACTTACTTTACCTCTTAGTAATGTCATCTCTATAACCTATACACTACACTACAGGATAGTTGACATTGTAAATTACAATTTCAACAGAGTCTTCCTTTGAGTTGGTGGTAGTCAACAGCATCTCAAACGCACCCAATAAGACCTACAGTATTGATGTCGTATTCAGAGGAATCCTTATCGGTGCCATGAGAAGACTGCAGGAGACCAATGCAGGATTCAAGTTAGTAGATTATTAGGTTACATTGTCTCATTGTTAGATGCTGTATTGTTAGATTCTCGGCAGTTGGTGTGTCAGGGATTTTATATTATGAAGTCAGGTGTCATTGGTGAGCACTGTTGTTTTTACAGTTTCACCTACACAGAGGACCCCAACTATGGTCCCTTCCTGGTGAGTGTAAATGGTGTAGCCGGGAACAATACTGAGAACACTTTCTGGGAGCTCCTTGTTCAGACTGGGGGGAATGGGACCACAATCACACCTAATGTGGGTGAGTAATGATGGAAAGTCTCTCTCAAATTTTTTGGGTGGTTTATTTGCTTAGGGACAAGTCATCTGATGCAAATAAGGGAAAAAGCATGCATGTTATTTACAATGGCATTCATAAAATATAAAAACACCTCTGTCACACAAATGTTGCAAATACTGTACGATATAACTACTTAACTACTCACATATTGACCTATTTGGACATTATTTCGACAGGTATTGGCTGTTACATCCCAGAACGAAATGACCGCATCATACTGAGATTTACAGTGTTCATTCCGGGCTCGCACTCCGTGAGTGGCAACAGTTCGAATCCTGGGAACCTGACAGCAGGAAGTAATGTAGAACATTTTTACTTCTAGAACATGTTTACCTCTTTGCAATGTCATCATCACAGTATTGACATTGTAGACAACATGGTTTTTCAACAGAATCTTCCAGACTAAATTCCATTGAGCTCGTGGTAGTCAACAACATCTCAAACGCAACCAACAAGACCTACAGTACTGACATTGCATTCCGAGGGATCCTTATCGGTGCCATGAGGAGACTGCAGACCAATGCCGGATTCAAGTTAGTAGATTATTAGCTTCCATTGTGTCATTGTCAGATGCTGTAGATTGTTAGATGTGCGTTCAAATCATTACAGTTTGAGCAATTGTGTAGAACCTTTCAGTGACCATGTACAGACAATGTTCTGTAGTGCACGGTGTCATTCATTGCATGGCATGGAGTGATACTGCATTTTGCACCTTCTTCAATGTCAAAAATAATTGTGGTATTCTGGCATTTCACAATATTCTGTTGTTCTTGCAGTTTCACCTACACAGAGGACCTCAACTATGGTCCCTTCCTGGTGAGTGTGAATGGTGTAGCCGGGAACAATACTGAGAATACTTTCTGGGAGCTTCTTGTTCAGACTGGAGGGAATGGGACCACAATCGCACCTGATGTGGGTGAGTAATGATGGAATGTCTTTCGGTCGGTCAATACGATTGGTCAGACCGTCTGTCTGTCTTCATCTTTCTCTCTCTCTGCAAAGCTAGAGAAATACAGTGAGGAAAGAAAGTTATTTTAAATAATTTACGTTTATAAAATATAACAACAGCTGTCACAAACATTTTGCACATACTGTATAACTACTCACATATTGTGCTATTTGGCCATTATTTCTACAGGTATTGGTTGTTACATCCCAGAACAAAATGACCGCATCATCCTGAAATTTACAATGTTCACCGCAAGCTTGCAATCCGCGAGTGGCAGTTGTACGAATCCTGGCGTGTTGTTGTTTTTGGTGTGTTTGTTTTTTGTTTTCTAATCTAAGCCTAACCTTTGCCTCAGTGACTACCATACATAACCCTAAAACACTAACTCACCCCATACCTGAACCTTAGTCACTACCATACTACACCCTAAGTCACTAACTAACTCCATGCCTAACTCTAAGTCACTTACTAACTCCCTCATTAGCAGGGAGGTTAAATTGCTTAATACATCTAAATCGGCAGATACAGTGCATTCGGTAAGTGTTCAGACCCCTTTACTTTTTCCACATTTTGTTACAGCCTTATTCTAAAATTGATTAAATAAATATTTTCCCTCCTCAATCTATACACAATACTCCATAATGACAAAGTGAAAACAGGTTTTTAGAAACTTTTGCAAATTTATAAAAAATTATCAACAGAAATACCTTATTTACATAAGTATTCAGACCCTTTGCTATGAGACTTGAAATTGAGCTCAGGTACATCCTGTTTCCATTGATCATCCTTGAGATGTTTCTACAACTTCATAACCAGACACCGAGCGCATAAGATTCACCAACTTCTTACACTTTGTTTCAACATGTATGACATGATCTTTCCATGTATATCGCTCATTGAACCAAATACCCAAATATTTGTACTTAGAAACCCTCCCCATAGGCTGTCCATACAGAAACAACTGTATATTATCAGCAACTTTCTTCTTCGAGAAGAACATACAACAAGACTTCGCCACTGACAATTTAAAACCCTAGTCAATTGACCATCTTTCAACATCCACTATAGCTTGTTGAATAGATTTGATCACATTAAAGACATTCCTTCCCCTCTTCCAAATAGCTCCATCATCAGCATATAGAGAAGCCCCAATACCCCTACCACCATTTGAAAACACATCATTAATCATAATGTTGAACAAAATAGGACTGATAGCACTGCCTTGAGGAATACCAAAGTAAAGGGGTCTGAATACTTTCTGAATGCAATGTAAATATGTGGGTTTTTGATGGTTTCTGTGATAGTGATTTTCAACTAGTGTAAAAGTTATTGTGTGATCATGTTGGAACAGACAGTAGCTCCTGAACAATACTTATTTGTGATTAGAAAATGTGCCACAGTTTGTTTTACAATTTATGTCATTCAATTAAAAAAACATGTTAATGAGATAATTCTCTCATTGTTTGAATTACATTTAATTTCATGAAGCTTTACCCTGACATCATAGCAAATACGCTGCAAAGATTCCTTGCAGTGGTGGAAAAAGTATACAATTGTCATATTTGAGTAAAAGTAAAGATAACTTAATAGAAAATGTCTCAAGTAAAAGTGAAAGTCACACAGTAAAATAATACTTGAGTAAAAGTCTAAAAGTATTTGGTTTGAAATATACTTAAGTATCAAAAGTAAATGTAATTGCTAAAATATACTTAAGTATCAAAGTAAAAGTAAAATTATAAATTATTTCAAATTCCTTATATTAAGCAAACCAGACGGCACCATTTTCTTGTTTCTTTTATTTATGGTAGCCAGGAGTACACTCCAACACTCAGATATCATTTACAAAAGAAGCATTTGTGTTTAGTGAGTCCGCCAGATCAGAGGCAGTAGAGATGACCAGGGATGTTCTCTTGATAAGTGTGTGAATTGGACCACTTTCCTGTGCTGCTAAGCATTCAAAATGTAAAGAGTACTTTTGGGTGTCAGGGATGTATGGCGTAAAAAGTACATTATTTTCTTTAGGAATGTAGTGAAGTAAAAGTTGTCAAAAAATATAAATAGTAAAGTAAAGTACAGATACCCCAAAAAACTACTTAAGTACTACTTTGGTTCCTTGTTCTTTCTTGGTAAAGATGGAAGATGAGGATGAAGAAACTGAAAACACCTATTTGAAGTTAAACAAATGTTACATGAAGAACTAGGAATCAAATAAAATATATTTCATTAGACACACAATTAATGAAGGAAGTAAACCCCCTGAATTTGCGGAAAAGGTATATTTGCAGTTCAGGATAATTAGGTTGTACGTATAGAACAATGAATATGTGTGGGCATTGGACACCAGAAAATATTGTGAGAATGGAGAACATTCATCTGGGATCTATGAGACGATGACTATCATCCTTCCTTGTTTTCCTTGTGTTCAAAAATATTCACAGACATTATACTGTAATAGAATCTCTATTGTTGTAGACCGGTTCAACTCTTACACAACAGAAAAGAGGGCACACACACAGACACACATGGATCAGGAACAATGAATACGTGTTGTCAATAAAGGTGAAATTTAGTTACTCGCGCTAGCAAAATTGAAACATTGTATAAAATATTCTGGGCCCTCAGAGTTTCCCCTGCCAGTGATCTCGGGACAGACACAGCTGTAGGCTATTTGTGCAAGGGATAAGAAGTAATCAGTTATTTTATTAAGTTTCCACTGGATCAGAGCATTACATTTTCCCTTTCATGTCAAGTAGTTATCGAAAGGGAAAGAGCTGGAAATATTGTTCAAATACTTTGAGTTAAGACAATCAGAAATACTATCAGACATTCCCAAATGGGCACATTTATAGGCCTACATTTGCGCGCAGGCCAGGTAGACTAGTCTATATGCCATAATCAGGTGTGCATCCTTACTCAACATTGAAAGGAGCGTTGAAACAAATGACAATTCATAAATTGACAAAACTCGTAAATGTAATGAAATAAACAAAAACTTGTTTCTCACAACTGTAGTATAGGTTGTAAGTTCTGCAAAACACATGTCAACTCCGACAATGAGAACGAACGGTAAATGACTGTAATAATAATACATTGAATGCATTAACAGAAATGACCATAACCAAACAAACATTGCAGATTAGAAATTTTGGGAATTAACTGTCACGATCGTCTTGAAAAGTAGCAGGCCAAGGCGCAGCGTGAGATGCGTACATATTTATTTTATTGTACACCACAGCGAACACAACACCAAACGAAACGTGAAGTTCTTCGACACAAACACAAATCAATAGGAACAAGAAACCACAAACACAAAGTGAAAGACAGACAGTTAAATATGGCTCCCAATCAGAGACAACCAGCTGACACTCGTTGCCTCTGATTGGGAGTCACTCAAGCCAACCTAGAAATACAAACATAGAATATAACACCCTGGCTCAACATACGAGAGTCCCCAGAGCCAGGGCGTGACAGTACCCCCCCCCCCAAAGGCGCGGACTCCGGCCGCGCCAACCAAACACAACCGGGGAGGGACCGGGTGGGCACTCCGCCTCGGCGGTGGATCCGGCTCCGGGCATGACTCCCACTCCCTCTCTAACCCCCCAAAGCGCCCCTGATCCGGTCTGGCCCTGCTGGCCGGAGCTGGACTGAACACTGGTGGAGCAGGAACGGATCGGACCGGGCTGACGATGCGCACCCCTGGCTTGGTGCGTGGAGTAGCAACTGGCCGGAACGGGCTGACGATACGTACCCCTGACTTGGTGCGTGGAGCAGGAATGGACCGGACCGGGCTGACGAAGCGCACCCCTGGCTTGGTGCGTGGAGTAGCCACTGGCCGGACCGGGCTGACGATACGCACCCCTGGCTTGGTGCAGGGAACAGGCGCGGGCCGTGCTGGACTGACGACGCACACCACTGGCCTGATGTGGAGAGCAGGAGCGGGCCGGACAGGGCTGACGAAACGCACCACAGACTTGGTGCGGGGAGCAGGAATGGGCCGGACTGGGCTGGCGACGCGCACCACAGACTTGGTGCGGAGAGCAGGAACAGGCCGGACAGGGCTGACGAAACGCACCACAGACTTGGTGCGGGGAGCAGGAATGGGCCGGACTGGGCTGGCGACACGCACCACAGACTTGGTGCGGAGAGCAGGAATGGGCCGAACAGGGCTGACGAAACGCACCACAGACTTGGTGCGGGGAGCAGGAACAGGCCGGACAGGGCTGACGAAACGCACCACAGACTTGGTGCGGGGAGCAGGAACAGGCCGGGCCGGGCTGGCGACGTGCACCATAGGCTTGGTGCGGGGAGCAGGAACAGGCCGGGCCGGGCTGACGACACGCACCACAGGCTCGATGCGAGGAACAGGAACAGGCCGGACCGTACTGGGGACACACACCACTGGCCCTACGCAGGGATCAGGAACGGGCCGGACCGGACTGGTAACACACCCCAGTACCTCTCGCCGTGCCTCCACACTTTCCCTCTCCTCTGTGACCAGTGGCCCCCTTAACCTGGCGGCCTTCTCTGCCAACCCTCTGCACCACTCTATCCCGTACTCCTGCTGCCCCGTCGTCCACGGCGTGAGCCCCCCCCTAAAAATGTTCTGGGCTTGTCTCTCCCCCGTGGACCAGGCCTCCATGGTTCTCGTCCAATTCTCTCTCCACTTCTCGTAATTCCAGCCTTTCTCCTCATCACGCTGCTTGACCCAGTCGTGGTGGTTTCTTCTGTCACGATCGTCTTGAAAAGTAGCGGGCCAAGGCGCAGCGTGAGATGCGTACATATTTATTTTATTGTACACCACAGCGAACACAACACCAAACGAAACGTGAAGTCCTTCGACACAAACACAAATCAATAGGAACAAGAAACCACAAACACAAAGTGAAAGACAGACAGTTAAATATGGCTCCCAATCAGAGACAACCAGCTGACACTCGTTGCCTCTGATTGGGAGTCACTCAAGCCAACCTAGAAATACAAACATAGAATATAACACCCTGGCTCAACATACGAGAGTCCCCAGAGCCAGGGCGTGACATTAACGTTAAATGTAGGCTGCTACTGGTGGTGTATGTAATGGGGAATTGATAGACACAGCAATCAATGCACACAATGAAGTTATGAAATAATGAATACCAACGAAATGGCGGGAGAGAGCAGCGCATTCTGGAGAGAGACGTGCCTTGTGCATCTGAGCCACAATCCCCATATTCTTGGACCAAGGCATCCCTGCGGCCTCCTCAATGGATTAATCCACTGAGACAGGCACAAATCACACAGGTGTCTCGTGTGCCATGAAAATAAATAA